ACTCACACACTCACACACATTTCACTGAGAGGAATTGAAAGGAAAACAGATCCTCTCGGAAAATACCCTGACGTTTTGGCCCCGGTGATGTAATGTGTCAGGAAAATCAAACTAACCACGTCCAACCCACGAGTCTCGAGTGACAGATGGAGTAAACAAAAAGAGCGAAACAGATGAACCGTCCATGTGTAGCCAGGCAGTAAACGCGTGAAGCGCAGCAGTGACAGCAAATGTCCTTTTTTCCTTCCCTGCCTTGCCTTTGTTCTCTTCTGTTTGTCCACTTTTATGCCTTTTGACCTCAGTCTGGAGTAAAGGAGTCCTTCTCTCTCGTACAGCACTCTTTTTATTAGCTCCCTCTTGTAACACACTCCCTCTCCTCGCTTGTCAGAGCTTGCTGGTGACAAAGTGATTTGTGAGAGCTTTACGTTACAATAACTTCTCTCTCCCACTCAAGTTCACTCACTTGCCCTCCTTTCAGGTTGCCGTTGCTTCACTAGAGCCGAAAGCTCTCCGCCCAGGAAATGAGGCTAACAGACTCTCTGAAATCTGTTCCTCACACAGCACTTCTCTTATACTGGCCAGGAAGCCCTTCGCAGCTTCTGGAAGACACACACACAGAGTGAAAGGACAGACAGGTAAATAACATGGTCATAACACTAATGTCTGGCCAAACCAACCACACACCTTTTTAAATGACTGCCAATGTAAGATGATGACAGAATGCTCTCTGTTGCATAAACACACTCCCAAACCGAACCTGACGAGCTGCACAACAGAGCACTGTTATCAAGGCCACATTTATGTCATGCGGTGAGCTGATGTCCACTTTGCTGTTTATTTTCTGCCATCTGTATTGAATGTTTTTATGCAGCTAAATAAAGGCTGAAATGTTAGACATATGTGATCCAAATACACATTTGGCTGGATTGAACAAGAATTAGGAGTTTTGTTTTTTTTTAAATAAAAAAATTATTGTGATTTTAACAGTAAAAGACTGTAAAAATGCTACAATGACTTTACTGTGCCAAAAGAGCTAAACAGAATTATGTTTTAATAAATCAAGCTGCACAACACACCTTAGCAATACTATAGCAACCAGTTATTTGCATGTTCTCAGATAATCTCACTGCACTTGGAAAATACACTGAGTCAAAGGGAATCTACAGTATAGTATACTGTGCTGGAAAATAATTCCATCACGCATTTTCACAAAGCAGTAAACATTCTGTAAAAGCACTGTTTATATAGTGCACTTCACGTATCAGCGTGCTTTTCATTTGGATTGGCCTAGTTTGTTTTAAATGTCGGTGCCATGATCCTGGCGCCTTCTTGTGGATCAAATGAGAGCTACTATTATTTTATTGCTATTAATCATCACCATTAACAGGCATGCATAGAGACAGTCTGTAGGATTCAGCATTTTAACCTCTTTAGAAAATATTAGATTTACTGCAAAATATTTTATACTTTTTCTTGGCATGTAGCAGGACTGCATATTCTTTTCAGAAATACAGAATGAAAAAAAAATAAAAAATACAGTAGCATCTTCTGTTTTCCAAACAATAAATCCCTCACTATAGCTTCTGTATCATATATCTGAATGTAATCCTTCAGTCTTCCCTGAGGTTAACTGTGGGACAGGGTCAAACCCAGTCCAGCACCATTTGTGTTTGTGGGTACAGCCAACACCGACCTGCAAATTTTCTCACAAACTATAGCCAAGGAAACCAGGCTCCAAACCAGAGAGATCGCTTGCACACACTTCTAGAGCCAAAAACTCAAACTGCGGTGTCAAGCCGAATACAGTAAACATGCAGTCTCAGAACCTGTGTGTGAATATTGTCATTCTCACGAAAGTGTCAAAGCTAGTGCTTACTGGAAGTTTCTTCAACTCTGGTACCCCTAGTGTTTATTTTATTTATTTATCTATTTAAAAAAAAAAAGACCTTTAACCTATGTTTAATTATTTGGTAGTTTTATAAATTCTATTTAATTAAAGGCTGTTGATAAAGAAACTAAATAACACAAATCAGAGTTAAACTGTATACAGAAATGTCTGAAATTGTGGTAAAAAGGCAAAACTTCATATAAAATGAATAGAAAGTATAACAACTTATGTCATATTTAGTTTATGTCTTATGTCTCCTTTTTAGTGAACAAAATTTCAACACTTACAGTGAGAGAGCTCTTTACTGTAATCCAATTCCTACTAGAAAGAATTAAATTGTAGAGCTATCTACTGTAATTGTTACTAGTAAAAATACAATTACAGAGAGTAAAGCTGGGAGAATTTTAAGCTAATTCGCCATGCAATAGTTAACAGGTGTTTAATTCAAAATAGTAAGAGTAGTATGCTAGTATGCTAGCATGCAGCATATGGCTGAATTTGTGTCGGAAAATCTGAACAGCTACTTTAACAGTTCCCACAACAGAAACTTTGACAAAGGATAAAGCCTACATTAAAATGATCCAGTTTTCCATGTAAAAACTGAATCAAGACACAAGACTCAATTATATGGTGTGTGGAAAATAGTCCGTTTTTATTTATTACAATTACAAAGATGGTCACACTTTATGTTAGGTGAACTAACATGTTCTAACCTTAAAAACTGTCCTGCAGAGTTTAGCTCAAACATCAATAAAACACACCTTAAAGGGGTCATATGACGTTGCTAAAAAGAACATTATTTTGTGTATTTGGTGTAATGAAATGTGTTTA